ACTTCCACACGAAACATATAACGTTTTGTGATCCATTCACATATCTACAAGAAAAAAATAGTTGCTATGACTTTTGCCCCAACCCTCATATTTATTTCAAATTCTTTCAACCAGGTAGTGAAATCTTCACTGCTTATATTTGATCTAACTTTGCAATGAAAATTTTCAGACGAAATCGACGATGCTTTTGTACAGAAAATTGTGTGACAAAATATTTTCAAACATCTTGCTTGAATCTTAAAGCATGCGAAAGGTCATGTGACATGACAGAAATATTACTGGATTCCCATTGGACCATCCTAGAAGCCACTCCCTCGGTGGCTAGACAGATGTGCACATGTGAAATATGCGCCCGGGGCACAGACCTCGTCTTGCCTTTCCCCAGATCTGGGTCATAATTAATAATAATAATAAACATAATAAATAAACATAATTAATAATAAAAATGTGTAAACATAATTAATGACTACTACCTATTCTATTTCATAAGAACAAACATTTTAAAATGATTAAATGAAAATACTGAAATGCTGCTTCTGTAAGTAAGCCGTACAGCACGGAATTTGAAAGCAAACATTTGTTTTGAAAATCCAAATGATAAAAGATTTATATTTGGCATTCAAGTCTGTTAAGAGCAAGTGAAGATGGTAACCAGGCTGCATGGATTTCATGAAAATCAGAATTCTGAGACATATTCCCACATGTTGCTTCATGTAGCTATACAGTACAAAGTCCGAAATCTGGACTCGTCGGGACTTCGGTGATTCCGGATTTGGAATTTTTCCGGATATTAGATCATCAATTTAAATCTGGTAAGATGCCATGCAGAAATTATACAACTGAAAATATGAAATCGTAATTTATGAAATAAAGAGCAATTATGATCTAAAGCATATCAAAATTTACAAAAAAAAAGTTTAATATTTATTTGTTTACTTTATTAAACATTTCTTTTAATGTAAGTTTTTAAGTTGCTTCGTTTTTGGTGCTAATACTTTCTCTTTAATTCTATAAACAGACATAATTTCTTGTTCAGTTACAAAGTTCCACTGTTCAAGTCCTGTAATTGCTGTGTTGAGAATACCGACTAACTTGTCAATCAAAATTTTTTCGTTTTCAGTAACCTCTCTGTCACGTCCTTCACTATCGGTAGCAGTATTTTCTGGATTTAGAACCATACTTCAGATTTCGCCGTCCGTTTATTGATTGATGATTGGGGCATTTTCATGGCAATGAAAAACTTCTGTTATGCCATCTTCATTTATTACTGCTTCTCCACATTTCTTTACAAAATCCATTAACTGAAAAATTTCACCTTTAGTTTGCAATATCCGAAAACCTTCAGATTCGGCGCCATCATCTTCATCGTCCTCACCATAAAATGTGGTAGCTGGCCATAAATTATGCCAAGCATTTTTAACATATCTGGAGACACATTATTCCATGATCGTGCTATGCTCCACACAGCAGATTTTATAGTAAAATATTTCAAAAACTCTTGAATAGTCTTGGCAATGCTCAAGAAATTTAACATGAATTTTAAAAGTGGTACTTTATATTTGCATTTCAGCACGTGCACTATTCCGATATCCATAGACTGAATGTACAATTTGGAAGGAAGAATAATACAGATACATTATCTTTCACTAAATCTTTAAGTGAAGTATGAACCGAACAGTTGTCTACAATCAGGACTATTTTTGAGTCATCAGGTAAATCAACCGAATTCAAATAATGCTGATCCTCGGGTATAGAATGATTTTGAAACCAATCATTCATTAACGCTTGTTTCATCTATGCTCTTTTATTTTCAGGATATATAACGGGGAAAATTGCTTTTCCCTTAAATGGTCGAGCCTGCATGTTTTCCGATTACGAAAAGTTTGCATTATAAAAAACTTCTCATCCCTTAATTTTGCCGCTCGGTGCTTTCCCAAATTAAAAAAATTTTGTCTTCCCTAAATTCTGCCGTCCAGTGCCGACATATTCTGCCACCGCTTCTAGGTTTATGGTGAATTAACATAGCATTTATTATTAATTAAAATAGCACTAAATGTAATATTTTCGGCTATGAGTTTCATTAACAAAATCTATTTTTAGGATATGAAAAGAAATTTTTGTTGAATTGTTCCTCATCAACATTTCTTAGAGCAATTAAAAATCTATTATCATTGCCTAGCATAATGTTAGCATAAGAGGTTGCCATATTCTTGTTATTCAATTACTAATATAAAAAAAGTTTAGACATCACTGCATGAGTTATTACTGAGGCTGTCATGTATTATTAAACATGCGATGATGAAAGCAAAATGTAATAAATAATGACTCGCCAGTTCGGCATCAAAGATATAAAATAGGTGAATGTTTCGGTTTGTAATGTATGCCAAGCATACACTCAGCTATGGAGCCAAATTATTAATCTCACAAATTCATGCTTACATGATTGTTTTTCCATAACAAGGTATTTTATTTAGTGCCTAAGTGAAATTAAGAATCAGAATTTTTAAGTGAAAATCTCCACATGCTTTATTATGGAAGAAAAAATAAATCATACAAAAAAAAAAAAAAAATGTTTGTGGCTTTGAGGTTTGGATTTCATATTATTTCGGATAACGGACGTCCATATTTCGAACTTTGTACTGTAGATGCGATAGTGGTGTAAGCGAATAGTGAAAACTGCTAAAATTAACAGTCATAAAACATCATGCGTGTGTGAAACTGTATTCTTTTAAGAGTTATTAAGGAATCTTATGAACATTAGGATTGATGAACTAAGCATTTCAGAAATATGTTCTAGAATACATAGTAGGATTAGTTGAAAAAGGTTTTAAAATACACTCTTATACCCAAAAAAAAAAAAAAAATGCAACAAGAAGGAGTTGTCCCAGTGGGACAAAAATCGGTAGAAGTGATGTACATGTACAGAAAAACAAATGGTTACAGTTTGAGAAAAATTGGATGATTTATTGAAGTGATAGAGCTTCACAAAGTGAAAAAGTCAGTAATGCGTTTGTCCACCTCTGTCCCTTATGCAAGCAGTTATTCGGCTTGGCATTGATTGATAGAGATTGCAGATGTCCTCCTGAGGGATATTGTGCCAAATTCTGTCCAACTGGCGCATTAGATCGTCAAAATCCCGAGCTGGTTGGAGGGCCCTGCTCATAGTGCTCCAAATGTGCTCAACAGGAGAGAGATCCGGCAATTTTGCTGGCCAAGGTAAAGCTCAGCAAGCATTAAGGCAAGCAGTAGAAACATGTGCAGTGTGGAGGCGTGCATTATCTTACTGAAATGTAAGCCCAGGGTGGCGTGAGATGAAGGGCAACACAAGGGGCCTGAAAACTTCGTTGACGTGCCGCTGTGCTATTAAGGTTGTGACAGATGACAACCAAAGGAGTCTTACTATGAAGTTAAATGGCACCCCAGACAATCACTTCTGGTTGTCAGCCTGTCTGCCGGAAGACAGTCATGTTGGTATCACACCGCTGTCCTGGCGTCTTCAGCCTCGCCTTCGCTGGTCATCGGGGCTCAGTTCAAAGCGAGACTCATCACTGAAGACTATTCTACTCCACTCAGTGACATTCCAGTGCGAATGAGCCCGACACCACTGCAGACGGGCTTGATGTTATACAGAAGTCAATGGTAGTCAGAGCAAGTGGCACCATGCCCTCAGCCCCCTTTTCTGTGAGCCTTCTAGGAATGGTCCTTGCGGTCACTGAAGCACTAGTTGCACGTACAATTGAAGATAATGATGCATCTGTGGCTGTGAGTGCCGCTCTGATGATTGCTCGGTCTTCACGTTCTGTCGTTTCTTTAGGCCTACCGCTTTCTTCTTGATGCTGTGTGCGGCCATTGTTCACCCATTCCTTCCAACATCATATAATAGTGGCATCGCTCCTGCTCAAATGTCGAGCTATTTGCCGATAAGACAAACCAGCTTCTTTGAGCCCACTGCACGACCTCTCTCAAATTCTGACATCAGCACATATCATTCGCGCACCTATGTGCGAGGCATAGTTACTGTCTACCAGAGTACACGGAATGAAATTCGTGAAGAATTTATGACCTGGAATCGTAATTTCTCCTCTTAAATATCCTGCCAGTTGCACAAATCAGATGCGCTGTAGCGACAACCGTTCATTCATTGGCAATCAAAATGTAAAATTTTGCATTTTCCGTTAAAACCTGTTAGTTAGTTAGTTAGTTAGTTCTGAGCACTGGCCACCCAGCCCACCTAGCAGGCAAAACCTGCCATATGGCTATGAAACCTGTATACATATCAATTTTTGTTCAATTTGCTTTATATCTTCTCAGTGCGTCGTGGTGCGTCTTTTTTTTTTTTTTTTTTTTTTTATCTAAGAGTGTGTATAGGCAATTTCAGGAAAGGGAGAATATAGTTGAAAACTGTTTACAGAAAATGAGGAAGCAATGTTGCTTGTAGTCTTGGTAAATTGTCACCTGACTTTCCACTACTGCTACAAACTGCCAGAATAGTAGAACATATTCTGATTCGATAGATCATATATCAGCCTACTCATGTTCATATAATCTTTATAGTCATGTGATATATTCATGTATCATAATTAATATTTTATGTACATTTTTGGAAGATTATGGTTTTGAAAATGTTGAAAATGTCCATATTTTTTTTGGGGGGGGGCAAACTATTATCTTTATCAGCATACAAAATAAATGAATTAAAAGTGTGTCTGTATTTACCATAGTGAAGTTATATCTGTTATATTTTAATGAAATTAAGTTAAATATGTAATATAATTTACATATTGAATATAAAGAGAAATTAGAAAATTAGATACTTTTGTCATTTGCTTCAATGTTTTTTTTTTTGCTGAATGGTTGTTATCTTTTTTCTAAAATTCTGACTTTGAATAGTACTTTTAATGAACTGTGCAGGATATTGCCTTGGATTTCATGTAAATTAAATGCACATATTTAAATGGATTAATACAAACTTGAATGGGAATCTTGTTTTACTTTTTCAGGCAATTATGTGGGAGTTTGAATTTGGTGTCCAGTATGCCTATTTTCTTCTTATATTTTCAGTAGTTATTATTTACAGTGTATTATGTCCTCTGATTGCTCCATTTGGTAAGTTTTTGTATCTTTATGCGTTTATCATTTACAAAATATATTATAATTTGTTTACTTCGAAGTATTTTACTATTTAAGCTAAAATGTAGAAGAAATACACCAAAATTGTTGTGCCACACTAAGCAATATGGTGCAAAAGTAATTTTCATATCAGAATAGAATATCTGTAATTCAATCAAGAGACTCATTTTGGTGGCATCCAATATTGAATCCTTAAATAAAGTTCAAGTTTTTTAAGTACATGCCTCAATCTTTTTATCTATCTTATACATATATGTAATGCTTAAAACCAAAAAATTAACTAAAAGTAACAAGCTCAAATAAAACCTTGAATGAAACAACATGTAAAACCTGGAGTAAATTAAGTAGCAAAAATAATATTAATAAAATTAATTTATTACCTTAATACAGCAAGAATGTAATATTGTGAAGTATTCTGAGAAAAGAACACTATTGATCAAAAGCAAAAAAATGTATTACATTTCTTGTAACATGTCTTCAGGGGATTTGTGTCACTACACAATATGAGACAGATACGTTTATGAACCATAACAGTGAACGATTTAATAAATCCAAAAATATATTTGAAATAAATAAATTAAACAAAAAGGTGTAATTAAATTGCTTATTAATGCAGTCCAACCTCTAACATCGCTATAAAAGGCATTTTATTTCTATTTGAATCAAAAAGGTAAAGCAAAATGGTCAAACACCTGCCTAAAATTCAACCATAAAAATAAAACAAAATACACAAATTTAATGAATGAAATGTGCCAAAAATAAACCAGCAGATTAAAAAGGGAGAACTTTTTTTAAGAAGCTTAGTCTATAAACAAAAATAATATTTAATATTTCTCTATATATTTTTTAAAGTTTTGATGTGTTAGTTATTCAAAAATATATATCCCCAAATGATTCTGAACCAGTATTCCCTGTTACATACTCCATTCCTTACATTCAATTAATTGCTCGTTACATAATGTTCATTTGCAGAAGTGATCCTTTTTTCTATCCATTTTACTTTGTAATTATTTTACTCATAATTCCAGTTTTATTATAATTATTCAATTTTTTAAATCATTAATAGTTTTACACTCATTGTAACACTATTAAGTGTAGCATTTAGTATAAATTTTAGTAAACTTACATCAATATTGAAAAAAATTTAAATTCATTATAAAATTTATTCAGCATAATTCCTGAAATTTAAATTTCTGAATCCATAAAATTTTAATAATGTATCATTTTCATAAAATGATGCTACATTTTAAAATTCTAATACAGTACAACATATGAGATCTGGAATCATAAGGATTTCATCAGTTCTAGATTTCGGAAATTTCCGGATTTTAGGTTAAATCTAAAAAAATGACATATAGACATGGCAACATTACCATTTCACTTATTATTAAGGTCAGATAAAAAAAAATGTTAATTCTTCACATTGTCAGTGCCAGAGTAGATGCAGCACATGCAGCATTGAGTGTCAGAATCTTGTAAAAATTTTAGAATTTAGAGCAGCACCAAGCAGCAAAAATTACGGATGGCATAATTTTTAGAATTTAGGAGTAGCAAAATATTTAGAATTTATTGAGGTACTTGGCAGCAGAATGTAGGATCCACAAAGATTGTGCCAGGTAGCAAAATGTGTATTGATGGCCCTGCTGCTTCAAACAACCACTCAAGGGCTTAAAGTATTATCCTAGCTAAAATCATTTTAATATCAATCAATGTATTGTTATTGGCCATGGTACTACTCCCTAACAGGTATCTAAAAGGAACACGCTGGAATCTCAGTTAGTCCTGAGAAAAATCGCATTTACAGCACACCCCCCTTCCTTTTGTTATTATATCATCTATTCCTAGATTTTGTAAAGGGGATTTTTTTCCTTATTTTTTTATTATTTGTCTGGTGGTCTGGATATTGGACATTGGGATTTTGGGCTTTTACTGCATAATAAGAAAACAGTATTGCATATTTAAATTTCAAAATGACATCAGTTATTAGCTTTTCTCTATATAATGGGGGCCCATTCTTTTCAGCAGCCAGACCAAATTTTAGAAATGAAATTTCCTACTGGGCTGTGCAACCAATTATTTTTTATCAAAGGAAAAATTACAAGTTAGAAAATAAAACAAAATTGAGAAATAAACATTTTTATTAGATTAGGGTTAGATTTCAAAAATAATAATTTTAGTGAGACATCAGGTTTTGGTGACAGAACTAAGTGCCTCAGTATCTATACTGAATGACATTGTTGCTACATGTAAACATTTTTCCAAATTAACATCAGTGATTCGTGTTGTCACTTGTGATTTGATGTGCTTCATCTGACTAAAAAGCTGTTCACTAGTGTTTCCAAATAGCACAGTATGTTTGTAAAATGGAGGACATTTCTTGTACAAATATGTGTTGTAGAAATCTTGCAAACCAATCTGATGAAATTTCTCTTTTAGCTGTGCATCACAACAGATTGCACAGTGTTTCATTTGTAATCTTCATAGCAATAAATTAACATCTACAAAAATCATTGTTGATAATGCAGGAAAAATTACATGATGCTTTTTAAATTGTGAAATCAGTTTTCCAATTCAAGGTTTATGCTGGACACCAATGAAGTGTGTTTATCTGAAGCCACTTGTGTGATGATTGGCTGCAATAACAATGCAGGAAAGTGAGTGAACATTTTTGTCCTTATATGTTGCTCCCAAATCGCAGGTTTAACTTGAAATGCAGAAATTATATTAAACATGTTGATATTTCCCTTGTAGATCAGTATTAACGTTTAGGGTGATTAGTTTTATCAACCAGAAATGAAATTCAAATTCTGGGATTTTTTGACTTGCTTCCAAAGAATGATTATTCTTCTGACCTCACCTGCAAAATCTCTTGAGGCATGTGGCGATAATATGCACAAAGAGAGCAACTACATGTCCAGTAGCATTGCAAAATTGCCATGGATTGGCTGATGTTCAGTTTTGCGCCAATGCATGACACATCTCTGCCCTACCACACCATAAAGGATGGTCACACCGTGGTGGAGTGTTCTTTATTGGGATATAATTTTTTTTTTGTATAATTTATCTTCTACAGTAAAACTTTAATACGACTCAGCTTCATGGGCCATAAGCTGAAACCTGACTGACATTTAGGTCACGTGTAGCCCATGGACTATCGGTTGGCACTTATGTTCTGTAAGATGATAATGTAAAATATTTCCAGCTTCACCAACTAATAAGTGAATTGCTTCTCAATAATGAAAACAAATGTGAACATTCCCTATTAACAAAATATAAAATGAAAGTACTAAATTTAAAAATCATTAAAATAAATCATATCTATTTTGGCACTTGAATTACTGTGTTTTCCGTTCTTTGGAGAATATATTTGATATTTTCTTAAGACAGCAAAATCAAACTGCCGAAATTTTAACTAAATGTACGTATAAAATTTAAAACATATTGCACCAGCATCAGTGATGCATCACTGAAAAAGAGCCTAATTTAATTTGCATGAAGATAAAACTAATGAGTTTTGATGTGATGAATGTAATGCAAAATGCAGAAATGGGGGGGGAACCTCCCTCGGACTTTAAAACCCTTCATGTAAACACAGATTGTTCACCTCCAGAGCACTGCAATTCTCTTTTAAACCCTCATTAAATGCATAGACTGTTAGAAATACTCAAATTAAATTTTGAAGCAGTGGAATTGATGCGGAAGAACAGTGATAGGAATTTTTTCTTTCATTTCTTGATGCTGCTACTGAACTTTTCACACAGTGGATGGTTTGAAAACATGGTTGAATTAATTACATTGAAGTAGTGACAGATACTTTGCTTTAGAAATTTTGAACTTGAAAGATGAGACCAAGTACTGTTATTTTAACTCTCTATGTTAAGGCAGAGATTTTGTGAGACAAGTAATACTATCCTGTTGACTAGTGGAAATAATATGGAATGTTGAAGATAGATATATAGACATGTGAAGAAGAAGCTTGCAGTAGTTTTAATATTACTTTTTATTCTCGTTGACAAACATCCCATAGCCAATACAGATAAAGTGGCACAAGCACACCTGTTTTAGAACTGCATTGGTACTGTTTACAATTCTGAAATATATTTGGAGAAAGCAACAGAATGATCACAGAAGAAGATTGGAGAGTAAAGTGTCATATGTCTAAGATTAAAGTTGTGCTCAAAATAATTTGAATTTCACTTTGCGATGTCTCCATTAGCTGTTTGAGTTTGTTTGCAAAATTGTTTGTTTCATTAATTTGCAAAATTATGTGTGGCAAAAGTATCTGTATTATGTAAAAATTCATGTTACAGTGATTAATTTGGAAATGACTCATAGTGATTTAGTATAAACAGATAGTATTTATAGGATGGAAACGGAAAATACTCAAATTAAAATAGAGAATTAAGGGACTGTTCCAAACTGAAGTTGGAAATCTTCCTTATGCATCATCATGCACACACATACATACAGATACACTGAAGAGCCATTACATTATGACCACCCTCCATCTACAACAATGGGCTCACCCAAGAAGAAAACCACTGTGCATGCATGGCTGATGTTGGAGTATATAAAGTAGCTATTGTCTTTCCAAACATCGCACGATTAGTGACATAATGGGAAAAGCAGCTGAATTATCAGACTTCAATAAAGGTCAGATCGTTATGGCTTGTGGTCGGGAACTTAGATGATGATCATCCTGTTTCTTTTATGCTGAAAGCCTTGTATCTTCCAATTACAAACCTTTTTGCTGGTCAACCACTATCACTGTAAGCCTGTCCCCCATGTGCATGGTGTTTAGTGGATCTGACTGACATAGCATTGAGCCCAAGTTCAAAATATTGAAGAAACTTGGATGCTTGCAAACGTATAGTATCTTTACGACATAGGGTCATTTAAAATAACATTGAGCCAAAAGTCTTTTGAGAAATATTGGAGACCAGTAGATCTGTACCAGGACTGGCTCTAGGCATTTTGCTGCTCAATGCAATCTCCGTGAATTCTAAATTTTGAGCTCATTGCCTCTCTAAATTAAAAAAATTTTGCTGCCTCTAGATTGTGTCGTCCAGCATCTACCTTAAATTCTAA